TATTTAAGTAGAATGACTTTAATAAAATATACAGAAATAAACTCTTTCTCACTAAAACAAATGTATCAGTCATCAAAATCTTCCCACAAATTTAGCTTTTATATTATGATAGTATGAAGATAGTGTCTTAATAATCAGGACAAATAGTTTCTTTTTCTTTCTTTTCAATATCATCTCAATATTCCACGGTTCACAACCGGTATGATGTCATCAACAAACAATGTTTACATGAGAACCAGAAACAAAACATTGTTATTTACTTTTCACCAGTATCGAAGCACCTTTTTTTCCGAAAGTGCCGTTTCGATAATAAAAATCAGCTTTTGAAAGAAATTAATCTTCGTTAAGCTAGTTTATTTTGTGAGAAATAAATCTGATAAAATAAATGCGCCGAAATAGATTTCATCTGAAACACAATTTCTCAAGGATGAAATTTTCAGAATAATTGGTTAGTCATAACCTGTATATAACATTTCATCATGTATTCGTCTTCTAATAATAATGAGTCTCACATTACGGAATAGATTGTCTGACTTTTCATAACCTAAAGTTGCTTCATGAATACAACCGTATAGTGGCAACGAAAACAAGTATCGAAATCAGTATCTATCTCCACTTCCATAAAACAAACGCATTAATCGCGCATAGTTCGATAACTTACACGTACCTTTGATACAAAACATATATTGAATCTAAACAACGAACATGAAAGAAAATCGTTCACTAACTGCTTACAAGAAATTATCTTGCGTCATACCTACAGAAAACCCACAACCGCTGCACCATACTTTACTATGGTCTAAACCATTTACCGCAATCCATTATCATTTAGACACATAATCTAACGCTTCACTATTGTTTTGCGCGGAAGTAACTTACAAACTATATCTCATTTACAGACAATTCAAAAATATTGTAACTGACAAATAAAGTTTCTATTCGTACTTCAACCACGACCACTTCTTTTCAGTTTAGAACTTCGCAAAACATTATCGTACACTATAAACCCTCTAAAATGCTTGAAATATTCATATTGATATTCGTACGCGTTGGAACGCAGTTCGATGGACATTCGATTCGCTACTCTCACTACAGACACCACCGGATAACATTTATCTACTCAAATGCACCGTTTCTGCAGCTCTCATTTTTCATTTAGACACTCACAACATTAATTATCGAAGTGAATGAAATCGGACATGTTAGACTACAATATTTGGGTGATGTATTGCAACACAACATAGTGATTCTCATCCTATCCTTATCCATATCATGCTTTTACCTTTACATTTTCATCTAGACACTCAAGGAGCTACTCATCTATAAGAGTCCAATCGTAGATCTTGGAGCGCAATTTTTGGGTGATGCATCACGGCACAACACGGTAACTCAAAGTCTCTCTTTATCTACGGCATATTTTTACCTCCACTTTCTTCTCTAGTCACTAACTACACTAGATCTTGAAGATGATCAAATCGGAGATGTTGCAGCGCAATTTTTGGCTGATGCATTAGAATATAACACAGTAGCTTTCATTCACTCTATATTTATACTATGTCTTTACCTTCACTTTTTTCGTCCAGGCACTCACTACACTAGATCTCGAAAGTAATCAAATCGGAGTGATTGGAGCGCAATCTTTGGGCGATGGATTACGACACAACACGGTAACATTCATTCTCTATTTATTTATACCGTGTCGTTACCTGCCACTTTTCATCTAGACACTCACCGTATTAAATCTCGAAGGTTATGAAATCAGAGATGTTGGAGCATTCTATTTGGGTGAGGCATTACGATATAACAAGGTAATTTTCATTCTCTCCTTATCTACAGCATGTCGTTACTTCCACTTTTTCATCTAGGCACTAACCACACTTTATCTTGAATTTGGTCGAATCGGAGATCTTGGAGCACACTATTTGAGTGATGTATTACGACACAACACAGTAACTCTCATTCTCTCTTTATTTATACCATGTCTTTACCTTCACTTTTTCATCTAGACATTAACTACACTAGATCTCAAAGGTAATCAAATTGGAGATATTGGAGCGCAATCTCTGAGCGATGGATTACGACACAACACGGTAACATTCATTCTCTATTTATTTATACCATGTCTTTACCTCCACTTTTTCATCTAGACACTAACTACACTAAGTCTCACACGTAATGAAATTGGAGATATTGGAGCTCAATATTTGAGTGATGTATTACGACACAACATAGTAACTCTCATTCTCTTTATTTATACTATGTCGTTACCTCAAATATCTCATTTAGACACTCACCACACTAGATCTCCGTTGGAATAAAATAGGAGATGATACATTGTATTATATCAATAAACTTATGGAACGTAAAGAAAGAGAAAAAAACCGTAAATGATACTAATAAACTTGTTTGAATAATGAATGAATTTTTATTGATGATCGTGTGGATAAGTTCCTTGTAATGTAATTTTTACAGAAACCGTAAAGAAAATTGCTTGTTTTCAAACTGAGTGTCTCTTGTAATGATTGTGATGACGGTGCTTTTGAATAGTTAAGGAGTTTTTTGTGGAACTGTTTTTAGTGATGGAACACGTGAAAACCTACGCTGATGTATTTTATGACAGCAGTTACGGTCTAAACATTGTCGCCAGTGACGGTGAAGTTTAAAAACATGTGTATGGCATTAGCAAAACTCTGAAAGATACTTGCCAGCAATATTGAACTATAAGAAATTCTTTGTGATAATAGTAAAACTGTAAGACGTTCTTTCCAATAATACTGAAACAAAGAGTCGTGCCCCGATGATATTGAGTCAAAGATGTTTTCTCTATTAATGCTGAACCGTATAATATGTAGTTTGAATTATTGTTGAACTGAGAAAGATTATGTGTTTAATCCTGCTTAACAAAATATAATTGTTCTAGTGTTGCAGAATTTCTCAAGTTTCTCTGGTTGAATAAATGAATCATCAAGAATTAATTCAGGAGAGCAAAGGGTCAGTACGCCGTTTCTTGTAAAAGAACTAAACGTCCTGCTGAAAACTTAAAAACTCACGCAGAGTTACAAAAATACTATGCTTCGCATCGCATTAACTATCACTGGTATTTATAGTTAATCGAGTTTGTATTAAATCATCATATAAGATTTTCAATTTTATTATAGATTAAAATAGTATGTTTTCTCATGCACTTGTTTTTAATATAAAAAATAAATGTTTTTCTTTTCATATTTATCACGTATTTGAAATGAGGTAAGAAAAATATTAATAAATCGATTGAAGAACTGGACGAAGGCCACTTGTATCCATATTAAGTAATTGTCGATTTCGATCAACTTCTGTATTTGGTGTTATTTCTGTATTAAGACGACGACGTGTTTCTAATGCTCGTTTTTCAAGCATAATTGAATTTGATTTAACAGCTATTTCATCTTCAATACGATGTAATTGTTGTTGAAGAATATTCCATGCATGTCTAAATAGATATTTCGAAAATATTTTAAATTATACTTAACATCCTTCTTACTTGGCTTGTTTCAATTGATCTTCTAAAGCACGTTTTTCAGCTTTTAATTGTTGTATTTCATCACATAACTAAATTTTAAAATTATTAGAAAACTTTAATATTAAATAAATAATAAACTTACGCCATAACTGACTTCATCACGAACTAAATCCATACCTGGACGACTATGACGATTTTCTTGTCGGGTCATTGCTAATTTAATCATCGGTTCTTTGTCTTAAATAAAATAATCTCTAGACAAGATTTAATAGAATTAACTATATATTTACCTCGAATAGCTTTTTCTAATCGTTCAATATCGCTTTCATTGCTAAGAATTTCTTCTTGAGTCTAATATAATAAAAAATATAAATAATAGTAGTAATACAATCGTAAATAGAAATTACTTGTTTCTTTTGCCATTCAAGTTCAGTAAGTGCTCGTTCAAGTTCATGAAGACGTTTTCGTAATGAATATTCACTTGCTTTCTGTTGAGATTCAAGATCCGATGATGATTGACCCATTGTATGAAAGATATTTTCACGAAGACGTGTAGATTCATACACTAAAAAAGAATTTTATATAGATACAATATTTTAATTAATTATTCAATTTACTTTCTTTTTCTGCACGATCTTTATTATATTTTGAAAATGCAAGCCATTCTTCCGGTGTTATTTGACCTTTGATTGGTCGACATGGATCAGGTTTATAACTAATATTTGGTGAAAATTCATTTAATTGTAAATTTTCTTCACATATTGCAAAAGCAGTATGTTTATCTTGTAAATCCTAAATTAAAATTTTCAATAAAAAAGAAAATATTTAAACAAAAAAAAAATATGTACGCGAACTAATTGTTGTTTAGCTTCAGTAAGACGAGCAATTTGATCAAAAGCTGTTTGAACTTGTTGATGAAGTTGTCGTTTAATACCATCGATGACATAAACTTCCTAGGAAAAAATAGGATTATTCAAAACATAAAAGTCATTTCTGATCAATTACCTTTTTCAATTCACGCTCAGCTTCATCATCAACATTATCAATGGCTTTACGTCCATCACGTGTAACGTGATTTTCTAATGCGACATCTGAAAATATAATTATCGTTAGTAAAACAAAATATGATATAGCAAAATGACCTAATGGACTGCGCATATGTTCAAGATATCGTTCACATTGTTGTTTAGTTGTTTGTATAGCTTGAATTTCTCGATCAATATCTTGAATTGTATATTCAAGTGTTTTACGCCATTTATCAATTTCATCAAGTCGGTCCGAAATACGTACGTCACTAAATATAGATAACTAAATCCTACTTTTTGCCAAAAATGAATTGTAAACTTACTTATCATGTTTATTCCACCATGATTCATTGTATGTTTCATTAATTAATCGACGACCATCTTGTCGTACTTGATGTGATACATTTCGGCTACGTTCTGCATCATGTGAAATAGCATAACTAAGAAAATATGAAGAAATTTATTTGAGAATATTTCAAAAGGAATGGTTTTTTTTTACTTATGATTGAACCAATCTGGTACATTATATTTAGAACGTGGCTTTTGTTCAAGCGTTGGATGAATTGTATGAATCGCAACTTCTGATCGTGGTTTTAAAGGTTTTGAAAGTGATTCAAATCCGTTCATTGTGAATAATTGTTGAAACCGACAATAATAATAATGGATGACTGCTGGTGAGCGTCTAAGTTATGTTTGTGCGCCATTCTTATGAACATCTCCATGATAACCATATCAACTGGAAGTTTTTTTATACTAAGAAATTATTTACTCCTACAACGACAATGGAATCAATTACTTTAGTCTATTGTGTATATATCATTATATTTTATATCTATGATTAATAAGTAGAAAGAGAGGTCGCTAGGGAACGTTTTTAACCTACTTTTTTAGCATACAAATGCCGATGATGATAGACAAAAAAAGATTCATGAACATTTTTCTATTATAATAAAAACAAGGGAAAAATATACATTATGCAGTTATATAAAATAATTATTGAGTTTATTTTTCTGTCACTATAAAATCTTATTATTATTCGAAAATCAATTATATCTCACATGTTTCTCGCGTCACTTTTGAAAATTTATGCCTATTGCTTGACAATGATACTTCTATTTGATTGTATAATACTTAGTATGCAAATGAACTAGTTTTAACACATCAAGTATCTTATGCATATAAGTAAAATAGATGAAAGTTCTATAGTCCATAGGAGACAATATGACATCAGATAATAATGCTAACAAAATAATTATCAGATGGATTGAAAGCTTAATATATATATATATAGAAATAAGAATTCATCTACTGGGATAGCGTCATTTAGTTGAAGGCTATTTTTTCTTACAATATTCTTGTACTCATTTATATGCTAAAAAGACAAACTTTTCAATTTTTTTACATAACAATATATTTATAATGTTGGACTAATTCAATTAGTTGTATATATATATAAATACAGGTATCTATGATTAATTTTTTTTATCATTTATCTTCGTTCTTAATCTCATAGGACATTATCTAATGAATAAAAAGGTTAAAGGGCTTCTGTAATCTAACTATATATAGTTTTCTATAAATCATGCATTTTACTTCGCAGTTCGATGCGAACTATATAGTCAATTCATCATTATTTGTATAGTGTTATTGAAAGTCATTTGATACTTCGACAAAAATTGAACGACTATTCACATGTATATGAAAGTAAATATTTAACAGATATTTGATTGCAATTCTCCAAAGATGGCAATATATTCATACAAATAGGAAAAGAGGAAAACAATCATACAGAAAAAAAATCATCCATTATTCTGAGTCGTGTTCAGATAAATGCTAATCATACGCATTTGTGAGTATACATGTTAGTCTATTTTTTTCAGTGATTTGATAAAAAGAAAGCTAAAATATTACTTTCTTAAGTCGATAGTTCTTTTCATCAATAAGTATTCATTCATTTGTTCAATAAATATAATTATTTTCAGAAATATATTAATAAGAGATCGACTAAGTTTTGTGTGACTAGAAAGATACAAAGTATTGTAAAATCTAATCACGATTTATTATTTCCTCTAGCAAAATAAAAAGAGAAAAAAAACATGAACAAATGTTTTATATTTATTGTTTACCTCAACATCTTTTTTTTTTATGATTGATTTTTACATATATGCATGATAAGTGCGCTTCTTTTTTTATACTTTATTAATCTTCCTACTCGAGAAAATGAATCTAGAATTTGAATATAAAGCAGTTTATCTAGACTAACGATAGGGTCACGAATAACAACGGAAATGTTCAATCATATACTATATTTGTATTAATAGACATTTATGACGTAGAAAGAAGAAAAAATAATAATATTAGAACATCAGATCAAATAATTTATTGGTACGAGAGATGAAATCTCTTTTTCTTATTTTCCTCTAGGATTTCTTTTTTAATCTATTTCAATATAAATAAGTAGAGAAGAAGAGTGTCATAAATTGGGGATGAGTATAGACGCTTATATAATTTATTGTTAATGATAAATTTATACTTATAATTCCACAAATCTAAGCCCCCGCATCGTCTATCTATATATATGGATTGTATTCTGAAGGAGAAATTTCATAATAAATCAAACATCTATTTCAGATTTTATTCAACATATTACAATAAAAATGTACATTACAAAATATTCAATTCTATTTATTTGTGTCATCGTTTCTCTTGGTAAATAATTTCATTTCTTTGTTAATCAAAAACAAAAATAGAAAATATATTTTAGTTCTTCTGTACTGTACTAATGCTGATTCAAGTGAACAACAACAACAAGAACATTTTCTTGAGACTAGTGATGAAGATTATGATGATTTAATTGACGTTTATCGTCGTGCGTCACTTCGGCCCGTTGTTGTACATCAACGAGCATCCCTTCGACCTTTTACTGGAAAACGAGCATCATTAAGACCAGTTGGAAAACGTGCATCATTACGTCCATTTGGTAAACGTGCATCCTTACGTCCTCCAACTTATTTTGGCAAATGAAAATCAATAAAAAAATGTTGTTGAACAATCTTTAAAATAATTTTATCGTTTTCTTTCTCTTTCATATAGACAACATTGAAGAAATAAAATAAAATTTATCTGGAATCTTATGGAATTGTTTTTTTTCGAATTTATTTATCATAAAAAATCATTTCTTTATTTTTCTTTTTGTTCTGTATTGCACAACATAAAAAAAAGAATCAAAACAGCACCATATTTATCATTCACGTTTGGCATGTCGACGAACTTTTCCAACATTAGCTTGTTGTTGAGATTTAGCACGTTTCACTTTTTCATTGCGTTGAATATCTTTAGCTAAACGATATGCTAAATAACCAGATATAAGAAACATTGGTGTTAAAAACAAAAAAATATAATAAAGAAATTGCCAAGGATTTGTAGCTACAAAGAAAAACGATAAAGATAAAAGAAGCAATAAAAAATCTTTTAACAATCATAAATTATATTACCTGCATAAACAACTACATCCATAAATTTTTGATGCCAATCAATTGAAAACATATTGATGGAATGTCACGTTTGAAATGAAAATATTTACTTTAAGATGTAATGATTGATGACAAATATAAACGGAATGCTTTTAAATGGACAAGATGTGTACCAATAGGAACTTTAGAGATTTACAAATGTCATCTGTAAAGAGAAAATATATAGGTCACTGTAGTATTTTAACAATCAATTTTTTTTATCGTAATCTAAAAACAATAGCTCAGATTACTGATGATGTTGCCACTTGTTTGTATATTTTACGTTTTATCTTAATATAATTACAATAAATTTATTTTTCGGATATATCCTAAAGTTTTATTATTTTTTTTTAAACACGAAGATCAATTTATTCTCTCTGGTAGAACATGTATCAGTATAAAGAGAGAACACAAACTAATAAATCAAACAAGTATGGAATGAATAGAAGAAAAAAAACATAATGCTAAATATCATCTGCTTCTATGGGGAATGCGTTAACCAAATCATCGAAGTTTATTGTTAATTTAATTAACATAATTGAGCTTTTTGTTCAATGTTATTTTAATTTCATTTATAAAATCTTTTGTATGTAAGTACATTCCTTCTTTAACACTAAAAATAAAACAGAAAGGAATTTTATTTTTAAATAAACAAACAATGTTTTTTTCATTTCGTACTTTTTCAATCCATGAATACAAGCGACAAGATCTTTTGTCATTTTCTTTGAATCAACAGTATCAATACAAGCTTCTTCAAGTAAATGACACCAACTAAATAGAAAATGAAATTATTATACGCATTAATAAAGAAATAAATCTACCGTTGAAGTTCTTCATTTCCATCGAGTTTACCACGATGTTCAAGACCACGTGTCCATGCAAAAATACTTGCAATTGGATTTGTACTTGTTGATTTACCCTTATAAATAGAAATCATTATTAATACTTTTATTATTTTATTATTATTGTACTTTTTGATGTTCACGATAATGACGTGTTACAGTACCATGAGCAGCTTCAGATTCAATAGTTTTGCCATCGGGGCAAACAAGTACTGATGACATAAGACCGAGACTACCATAGCCTATTTTAATACATAATAATTTTATTTAAATTCTTATTTGAATTATTCTTTAAAGTACCTTGTGCAACAATATCTGATTGAACATCACCATCATAATTTTTACAAGCCCAAACAAAACCACCGGTACTTTTAAGTGCTTGTGCAACCATATCTAAAAATAAATTTTTAACTCATAAAGCAAAACCCTAAAATATAATTTCAAAACATACCATCAATTAATCGATGTTCATACCAGATTTTATTGCGATCAAATTCTGCTTTATATTGTCGTTGATAAATTTCTTCGAATATATCTTTAAAACGACCATCATATCGTTTAAGAATTGTATTTTTCGTTGACAAATATAATGGATAATTTTTTTTAAGTGCATATTGAAAGCATGCATGAGCAAAACCCGTAATTGATTCATCGGTATTATACATAGCTAATGTAACACCACCTGAATGAGTAAAGTTAAAAACTTCAACTTCTTTTGGTGGTGAACCATCAGCTGGTGCATATTTTAATGTAACACGACCAGGATGTTTAATAACCATATCTTGACAACGATATTGATCACCAAAAGCATGACGACCAATAACAATTGGTTGTTTCCAGCCTGGTACTAATAACGGTATTGTTTTGCATATAATTGGTTCACGAAAAACGGTACCACCCTAAATTAATATTTAATTTTTTTTTATTTTTGAATAAATATATATTATACGAGAATATTTCGAATTGTTCCATTTGGTGAAAGCCACATTTTTTTTAATTTAAATTCTACATATTGAAATAAAGATTAAAAAAATATACAGAATCTAGTTATTTTTACCTTCAACACGTTGTTCATCGGGTGTAATTGTTGCGCATTTGATACCAACGTTATATCGTTGAATAGCATGTGCTGATTCAATTGTAACTTGATCATCGGTAGCATCACGATTTTCAAGACCCAAATCATAATATTTGCAATCAACATCAACGTATGGCATAACGAGCTTAAAAAATTTTTTTTTATTTTCGGAATCCAAATAGCAAAAGACTAACCATTTCTTTGATCCATGCCCAGATGATACGTGTCATTTCATCACCATCTAATTCAACAACTGGATTAGCAACTTTAATACGCTTTTGTGGTGTTGCGGTTGAACCTTAAATATTACAATCATTGTTTTCTTTGAGAAATTAAAATGAATGTACACGCCTTCTACACACCTCTCGAATTGTGTACATGATATTTAGGATAAAATATTACCTTGTCGAGTTATGTTGTCGTGCGATGACATTGTTGCAATAACATTGGATTTTAAGAGACATCCTGTTATTTCATTCGATTTTATATTTCGTGCAAAAGATCGGAGAAGAAACGAAGCCATCGTACACGAAGCAGATACTGCAATCAACAAAACTTTCTACAAGAAAAGAAGATTATAAAAACAAAAAAACAATGACAATGTAGAACTCGTGTCTACGTGTCTCCCTATAGAACGAAACAATACTATTAAAATCAGAAGCGCCGCCCCGATTTGTAAACGACGAAGTAAACCAATAAAGCACTTTAAAAAAATAAATGTCTAAGTACCTATATTTAAGAAAAAATATAGGTCAGCACGTTTTTTTCTAATCAATATAGAGGCAAATATGTTTTATAAATGGAAAAAAATCGACCAATAGAGGACAGGATGTATTTCTTATATATATACATATATATATGACAAATAACTACATCATAAATTTCTAAACATCATCTTAGAAACACTTATTTTCTGTAATTTTAATCTAAATGTCCGCTAGTAGTGCATCTTCATCAAATAATCGAGTATATGATGTAACATCTTTACCACCACGATGGCTTGAATGTCCAAGAAAATCAACTATTATTGCTGGTAACTAAATTCGAATATTTTCCCATTAAAATTTCGAAATTTGTTTTTCAGACAAATTCATTGCATTCAAGACACCATTAGATAATCGATATGACGATAAAATTGCGATTCATCAAAAATGGACATGTTCTATGTTAATTACGGCTGCTAAAACTGAGCGTGTATGAATTAATTGTTTTCTTATATAGAATTATTATATTTTGGTTTAATATAGAAAAAGATTGGTTTTATTATTGATTTAACAAATACAGAACGATTTTATAATAGTGATGAAGAATTTACAAAGAAAGATATTAAATATGAAAAAATCCGATGTCGAGGGTAGGATGAAACATATTTTCTTGATGTTTCAAATACATTATATATCATTTATAGACATGGTGAAACACCTAATGAAGAGCAAATAAATACGTTCATTAAAGTTTGTGATCATTTTTTCAGTATGAATCCAGATGAGATTATTGGTACGATTTATTTTTATTATTCTTATTAAAATTAAATTTATTTATTAGGTATTCATTGTACACATGGATTTAATCGTACCGGATTTTTAATTTGTGCATATCTTTGTCGTGTAGATGATATGAGGTATACATATTTGAATGGAAAAAATCAATGATTCAGTTTATATAGAATCTTTTGTTTTCATTATTCGAATTTCTTTATAGTGAAAGCTGTTTAGATAGATTTCTATCGAATCTAATCATTTTTCCATAGAGTAATATACTCATCTGACAATTTTTGTTTCGGTCTTGAGCCTAGTTCTCTCAAAACTGGAAAAATGTTTTTTGTTTTGTGGTAGATCCTGATAAAAGTCTAGGTTGGTATCGCTTCTCTCTACTATTTTTTTGTCTAACAGAAAAGTAAAAGAATTTTATAGCAAGTCGAAATTATTATTATTAGTTCTTTTGAATTTCTTCTTTTCTTTTTAAGTATTGATGCTGCAATTGATATGTTTTCTAAAGCTCGACCACCTGGAATTTATAAACAAGATTATCTAGATGAATTATTAAAAAAATTTGGTGATGAAAGTCCAGGTGCAATAGCAGCACCACCTCGACCTGATTGGTGTCTTAGTACGAATGGAAATTTTTTGTAATTAATAAGTATTATAAAGTGTAATTTCATAGCTAACAGTGATGATGAAGATGAACCAAATGAACGACCAATTGGAAATGGCGGTGTTAAACGTCCACGTAATAATACTATTTTTGAACAACAAAATAAACGAGTGCGAGAAGAACCACGACTAGTAAATGAATAATATTTTTCAAAGAAAATTTTCTTTTCGATCATTTCGCAGAAATCTAATCCACAATTTGCTGTTAGTCTTCCGGGTGTTACTTGGGTTTGTATAGAACCTACAATGTCAAATATTCAATTGAAATGTCAACGAATGTGTGAATGGAATCGGTAGTTTTCAACAAAATATCTTTGATTTCAATATTCAAAATCTTGATTTAGACGAGGTTTTCCTGGTTCACAACCCGTATCAATGGATCATACTAATTACAAAACAATTGTTCAGTCTCCATATATGGTTAGTTGGAAAGCTGATGGTACAAGGTAGATTCTAAGAATAATGTGTTTTATTTTATATGGAAATTTTCTATTTAGATATATGATGTTAATTGAAGATGAAAACAAAATTTATATGTTCGATCGTGATCATAATGTTTTTGAAATTAGTCATACTCGTTTTCCTAAAAATGCTGAATATACAAGTCATTTAACAAATACACTTGTTGATGGTGTATGTAAAATATCTTATACAAAAATTTTATTATTTATCTTTGTTTTAGGAACTTGTAATTGATAATGTCAATGAAGTGAAAGTACCAAGATTTCTAATTTATGATATTATAGTATATGAAGTATGTTGAAAAGAATTAAA